AATATACAGGAATTCACATCCAAGCTTAATATCCAGGTATGTATTTTAATTCATATTTTTAGTATTTTCTTCTTAGGAGCCTCCAGATTAGATTTATCGATTGTCTATTAAACATTTTAGCATAAAATTTTTTAAACTTTTATTATAACCTTTCTTTAATTTCTTAGGATAAAATGTAGCAAGAGGCATGTAGAATAATTCTGATTTATATTTAAATAGTTTCTGACTAAACATATAAAATGTATTTCTGAATACCTTTAAATTTATTTTTTGCAGGTCAGCAATCTTTGTCAATTTTTGCCGCAAGATAAGGTACAAGATTTCTCAAAAATGGATGCTCAAGCATTGTTAGAAAATACAGAAAGATCTGTCGGAGATCCAAAGCTTCTTGAGTATCATCTAAAATTGAAGAATCAAAGAGTCGATTTTAAGAAATTGGAAGTTGATATAATCAATACAAAACGATTATTGGAATCTAAAACTCAGAGACGTGATGGACTACAACAAACTGTTGCAACAATAAAAGAGAAAAAATTGATAAAGAAAAAGATAGTAACACTGAAGCAAAAGAAGGCATGGATGCTGTATGATCAAATGCGGAGGAAATTAGTAGAGGTACACCAAATCAATTTTTTAAAATGTTAAATGTTTTTCTTCATTGCTATTTTTTTATTATTGATCCTTTTGCATATATTTGTATAGTCAAAGAAAACCAGAGATAAGGCAGCAAAAGAAATGCAATTAATAGACAAAAAACTTCAACCGTTAAATAAAAAGATTGAAAATATAAAGATTGAAATAACAACGTTGAAAAATTCTTTAAAGGATCACGTGAGTATGGCATATAAAATAAAAATATTTATTGTGATATAAAAAATACTTTATTGTGATATTATTAATGTTACATATTAATGTAACAGGATATGTGTGTGTCCAATAATATATTTTTGTAATAATGCTCGAGTGCAAACAGAACAGGTTAAACTAAAATTCTATATTAGTTCGCGATTTTCGTAATAATGAGAAATTAATTTATAAAGATTTGCAAATTGGCGAGCATTCGCACAATTCAACAACAAGAAATCTTTATGGTCTAAATAAGGCTCGATGAGGCTTAGGAGAGGCATCCTATAAAAAATAATGGCTGTATACTAAGGGCACATTGTTATTTAAAGAATGTGAAAATTGCGAAATAATACAGAATTTTTCTACTTAAAATCTGTTTAACTTCTTTACATTCGAATGTTGTCACAAAAATTACATCCTATATACATATTACATTAATATTCTGAAATTTTTGTTATGTATTTTCAGAATAATAAAGTTAATGCTAAGAATGCGAAATTAAGAAATATCATGAATGAGATTCTTAACTGTGAAAACAGCATCAAAGATGCAGAAAACATATGTTCTCGAAACATTCAGGCAGAACAGACTCGAGATCAAGATATTAAATTTGCACAACAACAGAAATCCAAACTCGAGAATGATTTTTCTCTTACGATTAATGAAATGGGATCAGGTAATTATTTATTTGATTTAATTTTAACGAATAATACGCGCGCGCGCGCGCGTGTGTGTGTGTGTGTGTGTGTAACAAAATACACATATTAGTTTATCGTTTTCAAAACTAATAATTGCTTCTGAAATTCATCTCATGACTTCTTTTATAAATGTTTAATTTTTTAATTAATATATAAATTAAAGCATATGTGGGATTGAACTCAAAACTTGTCTATGTCATCCTACGATAATAAAATGTTATGTATTTCAGAGGAAAGTTTAATGGAACAAATGCAAAATATAGCATTTAATATAGAGGAGCATAGAAAAGGAATTAAGAATCTCACTAATAAAAATATCACATTGAAGCATGAGGACGAAAACATTAGTCGCGAAATGAGAGGTATATGCTTACACACAAATACCTATATTATATTTTTAATATTAATCATTATTCTTATTTAATATGTTATTAAATATGTTAATTAAAATTATTGATTGTAGTTGTGCAAGCGGAACTCCAAACAATTAATATTGATGTGAAACGATTAGAATTGCTGAAACAAAGGGATGTGAACGCATACAAGGCTGTACTGTGGTTAAAAGAGAATCGAGACAAATTTTCTGCACCAGTGCATATGCCAATGTTACTCAATATTAATGTAAAAGAGGCTTCATACGCCAAATATTTAGAAAACATAATACCGTTTCGAGATTTAGTTGCATTTACATGTGAAAATAAAATAGACATGCATGTTTTACTTAAGTGTTTGAGGGAACAACAAAAACTGAAAGTAAATGTTGTACATTCTGATCCAAAGAAAGATGTCACATTGCAACCAAATATCCCGATAGAAAACATACAAAAATTTGGCTTCAAGCATTATTTAGTAGAGCTTATCGAAGTACCGCCCTCCATACTGAAATATTTAGTTTTGATGTATCGTTTAAACAATATCCCTGTCGGGACTAATGAAATCGAGAATAATATAAATTACATACCTCGCAACTTAAATTGTTACTTTAGTGGTAAGTGTATATTTTCTAAAAATAAAATTACAAATTTTCCTTAAATTCAATAACATTTTCTTTGTAGAAAATAATATATATTCTGTAAGTACATCTAAGTATACGCACGAAACATCGACCAGAATATCGCGAGTTCGTGGAAATGGAATGCTATCTATTGTTCTGGACAAATTTAAACTACAGAATCTTCAAGAACGGTATTTTAATTGAAATAAGAAAATAATAAGAAAATAGATAAATTATAATGAATTAACATTGATATATTGATTATTTTATAGATTACAAAATTTGCAAGAAAAAAAGAATGAAATTTCGATAAATATTAAAGAAATAGAAGAAAAGTTACATTTGAAAACGAAAACATTAGATGAATATAGAGCCAACAGAAATAAATGTCAACAAAATGTTCAGCATATTCAAGCATTAAAAGGTAGAATACACATAGCTGAAGATAGACTTAGGCAATTGGAAATGGGCCGGATGAATATTGATGATATAAAAGCAACATACACCAATGAGATTAAGGTTTGTTTTTTAACAATGTAACATGCTATTTTTTAAAAATTGTCCAATAAAATCTGCATTTATGTTTAATTAATTATTTACAGGCCATTATAAAGAAACAATTAAAATTGTATAAAGAATATAATGGAATTCTGCAAGAATGTTTCAATTGCAATACAAATAACGTAGAGGTCAAATTTGCAATAACATTATTACAACAAACTTTATTATTTAAAGAGACTGAAGCCGATGAATTAAAGGATAAGTTTATAGCAGCAGAGAGAATATTTAAAAGACATGATGAAGAATTCCAACCTTTAAAGAAAGAAGCTGAAAGGTTATATAAGGAAGCATTGACAACCACAAATAATATCAATCCACAAGATGATGCATTTAAAGCTTTCAATAAGGCCTTTGAAAAATTACCAGCTACTATAGCTGAAATAAATAACGAATTAAATATTGCTCAAGCAAAAGTTTTTTGTATGGCACAAAATGTGGACGCCGAGAATGTACGTATGTCATGATGGAGAATATTATTTTTTAACACTGCATTGATACAACAAAAAAATTGAATAATTCTTTTATATTTTTAGATACTGCGTGAATATGAAGAAATGCAAAATAGTATTCACGACTTAACTGAATTTATCAAAGAGAAGAGTATTTTACTAGAACAAATGACAAAGGAGATTGAAACATTAAAAGAAAAGTGGTTACAACCATTGCAGCAATTGATTGAAAAAATTAACGCGAATTTTAGTTCTTATTTTTTTGCAATGGACTGTGCTGGCGAAGTTACGCTCTCACATGGTGAAAATATCGTAAGTATAAACATATGATGTATATGCAAAATAAAAATTCTTTCCTTGTTCTCAATATATTTTTAGTTGGATTTTGATCAGTACGGATTAAAGATCAAAGTAAAATTCCGAGATGCGGACGAGTTGCAAGAATTAACAAGGCATTTTCAGAGTGGTGGGGAAAGAACTGTAACTACTGCCATTTACATGATAGCGCTGCAAGAATTATCGCGTGTGCCATTTCGCTGTGTAGATGAAATTAATCAGGTACAAGATATCCGTCTTATGCTAATCACTAATAGCAAGTATTCTGTATTTATATAATGTATTATATATGTAATTTGTAATGTATTTTTCGTTATTTTTTGCAATTTAAATTTTTCTTTGTGATTTTATTAGGGCATGGATGCGGTGAACGAGAGACGAGTCTTCAATTTACTCGTCAAAATGACAGGAAGGCCAGGCAGCTCTCAATATTTTTTGCTTACACCGAAAGTAAGCGTTGCAACAACAATAATAATTTTCTATTATGCGATAACTTTTATTAATTTCATTGTTCTTTAACAGCTTCTGCCCAAGTTATCATATACTGAGACAGTAACGGTGCATTGCGTCTTTAACGGGACAGTTAAGGCGAATAATGAAGATTTTGAATTCGATGTAAAGGATTACTGCAATCATCTCACATCATCTGATGAATAGAAGTCACATATTTTTCTTCTATCAATTTAATACGTTATAAAAATGGATATCTTGTTTCTTATGTAAATATGAAGATAAAGTTTTACCGAATTATAGAAATTTATTTTTAGTTATGTATAATGAGTGCGCAAAATTTACGAAACTAATTTATATTTTCATAAAATGTAAAACGTAGAAATATATGTTTAATAAGATAACTTTAATAAAATAAGCTTTAATAAGATAAATTACATTTTATATTAAAGTAATTCAAATGTTAATTCTTACAAGAAATGTTAAGTATTGATACTAAAATTAAAGTAAAATAGAGATACACGTTAATATCTTATTTAGTATGCAATTTATATGAATGGATATTTGTATTTCATTGAACTATTTATATGAATGAATATTTGTATTTCATTGAACTATTTCCAATATGTGTTAAAAGTATAGTTTTACACACAGATATTTGGGTGACTATTTATTTCTTCCTCTTTCCTTTTTTCTTCTGAGCCTCTGGCCACGGGAAACCTCGACATTTTAGCACGTCCATAATATTATGACATGTATAATAAGCGTTTTCCATCACTTCCTCGTTAAAGATGTCCATAGCAAATCGTGCTTTTCCGCCGCTTCTTCTCGATTTCTTTGATCCTTTACTTTTGCCGCCATTACCACCTTTAGTACCTTTTCCATTATTTTTTCCGTTTGTTTTCGTTCCAGCCTTCTTCTTACTTTTACCCGTTGCCATTGTAGTCGATTAATGAAGCCTTGAGAAACAAATTAACATTAAATATTTCTAATTTATAACGATAATTTATTGATAACAAAAGTCTATCATATTTTGCAACAAGTATATATTGTTCACTGCTAATTTTAATATTAAAATTACCGATGTTCAAATTTATGCAACTAATTTCACACTGCAGTTTCGCCGTATTCTCGTGGTAGAAAGCCAACTCCTGGCTTAAACCGGAAGAAATAACTCGCGTTGCCATATCAACTTGTAACAATTACATCAATAAGTTGATTCATCGCTAATCTAATTCCTCGGAATTAATTAGAATTAATCTGAAAGGCCATACGAAGCAGGATGTTTGTAAGACTTTATGAAAAACTTGAATGTCAGCTTTTTTATCAAACAGGATATTCAGCTTCGAGAGCTCGATTCTTATGTAATCTGTCTTTAAATTTTTCTTAACCAGATGTTATTCCAGATTACTTTATCGAGAATCCAAAAAAAAAAGACAATTTTGTAAATTATAAATCAGGAATATATCTTATAAGAAGAATCATATAATCGGAACATTAGTCTTAATTGATAATAGTTTTCATACACAAAGTTAATTTTGTAAAAATTGCTACAAAAGATATTTGTTCCTAAAAGTCCTTGCGAAACATCAAGATATATTTAAAACAATATTCATTTTGTATTCATTTTGACTATTCATTGAGCAGCGGTCATGCAAAGACAGTTTCGGTAAGCGATTTTTATGTTTCCATCACACGTGGGAGGAAGCCTTGAATCGCCGACCTCCGAATCTGTGGGTGTGCACTTGTCTTCGAATATATGTACTTGTCACAAACCTCAAGATGAAATTTATACACGTACTGCAACGTGATTTTTTTACAAGATACCTCAAACTTCGACAACAATTCAAATGCGAAATCCAGCTCGCTCTAAGAAACTTCAAAGCATCAAATTTGAATACTTCGATTTACATATTTAAATCCTTTCAAATTTAGTTATAGGTTGAATGCGTCTCATTAAATATATTTTGATAAATAAGATCTAATATTAAATGCTTAATAGCTATAGGCGTGGACTTACAAAAGGAAGAGGCAAGAGGCGTTACTCCTGAATTTTGATAAGAAATAATTTATCAAAATTATTTTTATGTTGAAAAGAAGCTGAAAGGAGAAGTATTAAGAAAATTCCCTGAAGATCCTCGAAAATTAGCTTTAACATAATTATATATACACATATATTTTAATATTGTTTGAAAATGAATTTTTGCCCCCCCCCCTCCTCTTTTGACTGAAAGTCTGTAAAATATAATTACAGAAGAAGTTGAAGAACGTAGAAAATTACGAATGTATTACACTTCGGATAAGACCGGGGAAAAATACTATAAATCCGTACAGCTGAAAGTATCGAAAGTGTTAAATGATATAACAAAAAAAAAATATATCAAATGAAAAGAATCAGACAAGTATATAAATAGAGCGATTTCGATGGAACTCTGCAATAATTTTATCAATAATTAATTCAATCAAAATTCCCTGTAGCAAAATTTCTAATTATCATATATATCTGCAATCTTTAATCTTTCTTTCTATCTGTTAAGCAAAAAATTAATTGTTTCGATCCATATTGTTAAGATAAGATAGTACACACACACACACACACACACATATATATTGCTTATGATAAATTAATTGCTGTTGAGTTAATCGGAGTCAATCAAGGTGACTCTAATATTACTTTATATGTGTATACATATATAATGCCGGATTATTATATTATATGTATATATAATATGCATATTTGTGGATATGACATACATAATATACATATATTACGTATATTACGGGGAGAAATGCCGAGTCCCTTCGCTCCAACGGCGTGTTTGTCACGAGTGCATACAGATGTCGGTTGTCACTTTGTCAGTCGCCCGGCGGAGTTCGACGCGGACGGATGTGTGATACGTGTCTGAGCGTTTCGAGCCATCTGTTCCGCTCCGCGAGGCGCCGGCAAGCTGAGCGTGCCGGCCGTACGAGAATTCGTATCCTGGACAAGTCGTACCTATAATCGGCGTAATTCGCCGACTGGATTGTCATCCGGTGAGTAGGATTCTTGGAAAAGCGAGTGATATTTACAGCCATCCGTCTCTTTCTCGTTCCATTCATCACCCAAGTGTACAGCGAGACGAAATGCGATTTTATTTCAGAATTCGTTCATTTTAACGATCACTGTAAACATTTTTTTTAGTATCGTCGAACAAAAATTTGGAAAGCATGGATCAATTTTATTCATGTGTCTTTTATTCTTTATAGGTGCTAACTATAGGAATGAGTCAATGTGATTTTACAAATGCTTCGAAGCTATTCTTTGATTAGTCAATTCTTTCTTCTGATTAGTGAATCAAATGCTTCAAAGCATTTGTAGTGAGACTTCGAGTGCGTTCTGTTTCACGTATGATGTGCAAGATTTATCATTTTATCCTGTTGTACACTAAAGAAGGATAAAATAACACATTATGTGCATCGTACGGAAATCCTTTGACCGCACCCTAGAATGAGAATTGTATACAAAAGAACTGTTCATTTGATTAAATTAATTGTTTATTTAACTAAATTAATTTACGTATCTTTATTTCTTTCGTTGGGAAATGCATGTATTTTGAGTCAAATATGTGTAATTAAATACATTTTATTGAAAAAAATAAGGGCGAACTAAATCAATTTAGACAAATGATTAATTCTTCTTTTTCTTAGAGTGTATCTATTCCTTTATTATTATTATTATTATTATTGTCGCTATTCATAGATTTGTCCTCTCTCTGTTAAATCCAAGACTAGACGAAGAAGCAGTTAACTTCATTAAAGTGCTGCCAACGTTACGTTAATTCGAAAAGACAAATTAATAATTAACGGGCGTTGACATCGATCAGTGTTGTACTTCGACTTTCAAGGTTTTAAGATGGAACTTCGATCGGAATAATGAAGCAAATTTTCTTCCGCAAGCAAAATAACCGTGAAAAAATTACGTGAGAAAAGAGATATTTGAATGCATAGCATTGAACAAACAATCGTTGAACCAATCACGTACATCGTTCGACAAGAAAAAAAGCGCTTAGGTTTAATTTATTCCATGCGTTAAAGGCTATCATTAATGGTGAATTCGGTCGTTCGAATAATGCATACTAAAGGCTGCTTTACATAAAATATCGAAATGCCAGTGACACAATTTAATCAACTTTGACAATAATAAATACATATAATAATAACATACATATTAAAATAACAAGATAATATTATATCATTATTAGATATTTAATTGTTTAAAATATAAAGTCATTGGCTTAAATAATTTCAAATTTACAATTAAAATAATTTCGCGAGCTTATTTAGCTTCTAGCCTTCTTCTTTTTTTGATTATTAATCGTTTAAAATATTTTTTTATATGCTTTAACATTTAAGTTTACTAATTTTATATATAGCGTACTCTGAGAAAAATTTTTGATTGAATTAACAAACTAGGAGGTTCAGATGAATTAGAATTCTAGTTATTCTAATTTAGAATTATAAATAGCGGTTTCAACTAGAAAATCCTGATTTATCCATTTTTAACCAGAATCCCAATTAAGGCCACTCTTTTTCCAGTACAGCTTTTAGTATGCTAATCTAATGTACTGCAAACGATCGAGTTCGCTGTGAACAAATATCTTATACTTACAGGAACTTATACTTATAAAAAAAACTTCTTGTAAACTCACGTTTCTCGAAGTGTTTTTCCGTGAACATTGATTAATTGCCCAAGCAGATCATCCTAACTTTCAAAATGACGTCAAAGTGTTTTAAAATGGTTACTTAAAATTTATTTTTCAATCAGTTAATGTTTCCTTTTAACGCTATCGTCACTTGTTTTTCTTAAGTCGGAGAAACGCGCGATATCGCCGAGTTTATCTGCCGCTATCGATCTTTCGTATCGTCGATATAACTCTCGCCATTCCCGCTCCGACGAAGAGCCGGGACCGGGTATGCAAAACACGATGTAACGCGATCAATTCTCGTCTCATTTATTGCCGGCGCTGATACCCTTTGCGGAGGTCAGGATGCATCCTCGATCGCGCGAGACGTCGTGCACTTCTGCGCTCAATTTGCAGCGCTCCCCGGCATTCGCGTCATTCTGCATATCCAGTACTCATCCGTCACACGTACCTGTCATCTAAGGCCGGCGATCGGAATCCTAATAAGACCGTGTAACTTTTGCTCGCAGGTCACGAAGCATTAATCGCATGAATCACCATCCGCAACCGTCGCAGCTCGTCCGTCTTATCGGCCTTCGAAATTTAAAAAGGAGGACAGCCGATCTCCTTTCCCAGGAAGAGGTATGATTTATGATCAAACGTATCACGTTTGCAAGCATCCCGAAAGATAACGCGCGTGATATCATTGTGAAAAAGCATAAATCTTTATTTCTGGAGAAGGATCGGCAGAGGAACGTGTTTGAGGAGCGGTACTTTTAAGGAAGCCGAAAGTAAAAGTACGAGGAGGGAAAGAGAGCCAGTAGACAGAGGATATACTTCTTTCAGGCGCTGGCAGCTCCTGAAGAAAGATGTCCACGGCGTTGCTGGCCCTCTTCGCCGTGATCCTGTGCATCTTGTTTAGGATACTGAACGTGAACAGTGCGCCGCAGAAGCCCCTCCTCGTCTGCAAAGACCAGTCATTCTTGACGACGGTGCTGAAGATCGCGCCGGTCATCGCCGAACCGTAAGTCTGAAAATTCATTTCTCACACCGTTCGTATGACCGGCGAGTCGGCCGTTTTTAAACGCCCTGGCTGTCGACTGTTCAACAAAATAACATCTTCGTGACTTTCGAACCCGAAGTAGCCGCAAAAGTGAGGTTAGGTTCATGCTGGACGCCCGACGATGCTCCAGCATGGATGGGCGTGTGATTCGCTGTCATTACATTATTGACTGAATATTTCATATTATATGTCATAATGCGAATAAGTAAATTTAAAAAATATTAAAAAAACATGGTTCTTAGTCTGGAACATCCTGCATCAAGTTAAAAAATTATATCTGATAATAAGAATATATGTATGCATTGCATTTTTAGTTCATTGATTTGTCTGTTTGGTATAATGAAAAGATTATAATGATGTAAAAGGATAGGAGATGTTAATACATGGATAAAGATATAGTTTATGATTTTGTGTGTGAAAATTGTTTGATTAATGTTGGCTGTAATTAACACATAACTGGAAATAGATTCTGGTGATCCTGGAACTCTTCCTAATTTTTAAATAGTAATTGTCTGGAATAATTTGTGTTTTCACTATCTTATTTTTTATAGTTTAAAAAAATTCTTAAAATAAATAAATAATAAACTTTAGTGGGTTCCAAGAATCTATATATTCCTTTAGTGTCAAAAAAATGTGTGTTTCTATTATGATTATACTAGGATTAATGAAAAAGATTATTATCATCATATCCAGATAGTCAATAAATCTTGTGCCTGCTGTAAATTTCGACAAAATACCAGCAGAAATATAAAAAGATCCATCAATAGAATACAATCGCAGATTGACTGCTATTGTAATTAAATAAAATCTACAATTTTATAATCATTTCAATACATCATTCAAATAATCTTAAAATAATAGACTAGTTTTTCTGCTGACAATTTGCTGTCAGATTATTAAGATTGTCAAAAAGTTTTGCTAGGATGGCAGAAGGTAAACCTAATGCAGATGTAGTTGATATGGAAAGAATTTTGCTGAAATACCTAAAGATTTAGCTAGATACAAATTTGAAAATAATTTGGTTAAACTATCAAAATAATTAAATAGAAAACTCAGTATGATTAGCTATGGTCCATAAAGTTTTTATATTCTAACAACTAATTTGATCATTCTATATAATTATTTTGGTCTAACAAGATTATTTTCGGATACTTAGATACTTCAGCAAAACCATTCTTTCCGTGTAACAATCTGTCATATTGTTCTGTCCGAATCTACTGATAAATTGCTAGTATATTGTTAATATTTTGCTTGGGATGGTTATCACGATAGGTGTGATTTATTGAAATAAACATAAATAAAAGACTTGTCTATTTTACAAATATAATGCTATAAATAAGACTCAAGTTGGAGTTACTTTTTATTTATATATTTATTTGCATGACATTTAAAGGTTGCAGCAAATATATATATTTATTGAGATAGTCATGAATGATGAAAAGGATTGTTTATAATATAATGCCATAAATAAGACTTTAAAAATGGTACTTTATACTATTTTTTTTTATTTATACTACTTTTTATTTATATGCTTTATATGATATGTGAAGATTTACATGTTACGCGAAGATTGTGACAAATATTCCCATGTTTACTTATTCAATTGTAATTGCTTCCGAATGAGTATAATGCCTGTTTTCTTGCGAGAAATGTTTGGGGTATAGATTGTTTGTTGTGAGTTTTTGTTTGAACTTGTTAAGGAACATTTACGCGAATATTACGAATGGCTTGTTTAAAGTGGTTATAACAGGAAATAATTCGATAATAGTCAGAGTACATACAAAATGCTACATTGAAAGGCTACATAATAATGCTTATCAAATAAAAGTTAGAATGAAATAAAATTCTTATCTTTATGATTTTTGTAACATTATTGAAATCATATCCATGTAAAAGTTCAATAATCATTATCTAAACGTTTCACGTATTTGTCTGCTCAGAATAGATTCATATAGTAAAAATACGCAAGATAATGTGTGGGTCATGAGAAAAAAGTAAACAAGTAAAGTTCACTGATTAATTTGAAGAAAAAAATTATGAATCAGTTTCAAAACATCTACAACATTTCTTTAGCGAAGTTAATGATAAGGAAGTTGGAGTCGCTTACTAAACAACTGATTGCATTTATTTTAACATCAGTATAAAACAATATTTTTC